CAGCAGTGTGCCCTTGTGGCCAAGAAGGCCAATGGGATCCTGGGGTGCATTAGGCAGAGTGTTGCCAGCAGGTCGAGGGAGGTGATCCTGCCCCTCTCCTCAGCCCTGCGGAGGCCTCACCTGGAGTACTGTGTCCAGTTCTGGGCTCCCCAGTCCAAGAGAGACATGGCACTCCTGGAGAGAGTCCAGCGGAGGGCTACCAAGATGATTAGAGGGCTGGAGCACCTCTCCTATGAAGAAAGACTGCAAGAGCTGGGCCTGTTCAGCCTGGAGAAGAGAAGATTGAGAGGTGATCTCATCAACGTGTACAAGTCTCTGAAGGGGGAGTGTCAAGAGGATGAGGCCAGTCTCTTCTTCGTGGTGCCCAGCAACAGGACAAGAGGCAACGGGCAGAAACTGAACCACAGGAAGTTCCATCTGAACCTGAGAAAAAACTTCTTCACTGTGAGGGTGACAGAGCATTGGAACAGGTTGCCCAGAGAGGTAGTGGAGTCTCCTTCCCTGGAGATATTCAAAACCCATCTGGATGTGATCCTGGGCAATATGCTCTAGATGACCCTGCTTGATCAGGGAGGTTGGACTAGATGATCTCTAGAGGTCCCTTCCAACCTAAACGATTCTGTGATTCTATTTGTAGGGAATTTGACGATCATTTTGTTTTTTAAGCCTTCTGACAGAGAAATTGTTCATTGATGCTGGGAACTGCCTTATTGAAAGGTCAGTCTTTCTGGTGCCAACGGCAATATTTCCAGTGGCCAAAGGAAAAGAGCAAGACTGTATTTGAAATAAAGAAAATTCTCTGAAGCAGTCAATAATAGTTTAACGGCTTACTTTATTTTTTTTTCATTTTTTTAAATCTGGTTTCTATCTAATTTCCTACTTAAAAAACCCAAACCCAGATAATTGCAGCTCAAAGACCTGTAACGAAGATATTCAGACAAGGAAGGGTTTTTTTTAAAAAAAAGTTGTGAGGGTCAAATCATTAAATATCAATGGACCAAATTCAAATCTGAGAGAAGTGAACAGCATTCCATCAATGGGTGTTGCATCTACTGATGCCAATCAGCCGACGGAGAGTAGCCTTTAATTTAGGAGTCTGTTTTTACAATGACAGTGAGTTGCAGTAATTAAAGGAAGATGGATATATCCACAACACAACACAACATGATGCAGAGAGAGTAAGCTAGCACCATACCAGGTGGCTTCAGAAAGCAATATTGCCTTGGTAGCACAGGGCTGAACCTGGTGCAACACACCATTAATGATAGGGATTTGCCTCTGTCTCCTTGTCACAGTTTCGGAATGCACTTTCTCAAGTTTCTTGCAAGCCCTAGCATCTTCTCTGTTCTGAGATATGGAGCCTGCCTGTTTCCTCCAGGACCCTCCTGGGATAGCATGCCTTTGTCGTCCACTGAGGACAAGAAGAGCAGGCCTGGCTTCTGTGGGGATGCGAGTAACCTTCCTTTTCCAAGTAGGGCTTCCCACACTCATTGCTCCCTCCAAAAAACTGCTGGAGCTGTCCAGACCTGGTTGATCTTGATCTGACTTATTCTGACTTGGGCCAGACCAGTTTTATAGGTCAGCTGGAGAGGCAACAAATCTTCCAAGCTAGGTGGTCTGCAACGCTCTCTAAGAGTCCTCTGAAGTCTGCAGACTTGCCTTCAGCTTGCCTTCAGCTGCTCTTTTCCTTCCTCCCTGTTCTCCATGCAACCTCCTGTGCCTTTAAACAAGGCTAATTCAGAAAGTGCCCCAAGAACCAGAACAACACATAGAACCTACAAATTAAACAGCAATCACATCTCAAAAACTAGCAAATGTGCAACACACACGTTCATGAGAAAAAGGTCACTGTAGTGAAAAGAGTCAGGAAATCAGCCTAAGGGACACATCAGCAGGCTCTCAGTTTTCTACAGGATCCAGGAAACAGCATCTTGAAAGCTAGTCTAAAAGCTCTTTAGAAATAAAATGGTTCCTTTTCTACCACAAAAACAGTGAGCACGCTACTGATTTGTAAAGATTTCTTGCAAGAGGAATTAGGAAAAAAAAAAAAAAAGAGGAGACCATGATCCTTATTTTTCTGTCACATAGAGAGATAGATATTTATTTTCTGCTCTTGTTGGTCAAATAAGAAATCTAGGTTCTTTTTATCCTATCTGTCCGGGGGTACTCTTACAGAGGCTTTACCCAAAACTAGTACTCATCTCCACTGAGCTGAATAGTTGTGGGTCAAGCCATCTTGTCCTCTTTTGCTGTAATTCCAACAAATGGAATTATATCATCTCAAATACCTGAAACTTCAGCAACTGAGAGGTCCACCTGTTTTGAAGTTTAACACTGATTTAAATTAAGCCTCTGACAAAATACCGTGAAATAAGATTCTGTTTTTTTCATTTTTAATCACCCTCCATTAGTCCACGAAGAGCCAAAAAATTCTACCACAGTTCTTAGGTCCTCCCAGGAGACCCACCGAAGATAAGACTTGATTTTTCCAGCATCTCTAAATTCAGTTTTTGCTGAAGTTAACGTAGGATCACAGCTAGCCACCTATACAGAACACCCATCTACATATTGTGCTACTTTCCACTCAAACTACCTATCTCATCTAAAGGTGTAAGATAAAATGTGGGCTAGACCTTTTATTAAGTACCAATAGCCCATCTTCATTGTGGAGGCAAAGCCAATGACTTGAGAGCTAACACTTCTCCAGTGCCTTTCCTCATGCCAGTAGAAACAGGTTCTCTCGTAATTTCTTCAGACAGAATGAGAAACAAATTCAGTTCAAGCTTAAGAAGAGAACCGATAATATAACCAAAAAAAGGCTAATGGTGCACAGGTCTGAGAGGAGTACCAATGAGGCCACCAGCTACTGTGCAACTGTATTTACCCACACTTGGATAAATTCAGTTTTTGGAAACAGGGACCAGTAACCATACAATGAAGTCACTTTACATTAATAAAAACATACATTAATTAAAAGCCCCATCTTGCTTTTGTCATTCCTTCCCACCCTCTTTTAAATACTGCAAAGAAACAAATAATAAGGCAAAATCCTCTACTTTTGGAACCAGTGTAGTACACATCAGGTAGCAGCAACATAACAGAAAAATCCCACCAAGGCCCAGATAAACAAATGCTCAGATTGCTAACGTTGGTCCGACCAGATGATGCACAATGATTTTTAGAAGTCCCTTCTTTCTTCCCTTCCTTCAAAAAAACCCTTTTCTCTCTCATCATCAAAAAAGCCCAACCGTTACAGATTGAAAACAGTCACACAAACACACGTCACACAGACTCCCCCAAATGCTTCTCCCACACACTGACCCAAATAACAAATAGAGCCATCCTGAAGCGGAACAAACAGGATGTTTCAATGCTTAAATGGCATGTTAATAGAATAGCAGAGAACAAAAGATAATCTTTACCTGGAAGAGATAAGTTATAGAGGGGAACATCCCAGAGATTTTCCGGTAATTGTGACATCCACTGACCATTTTCATGGCACAGGTGAATGGACGTTTGCAAAGGGCCTTCCATTAGTACCTATCTTAAGACTTTATAGGATGTTCTAGGGGAAAAAGAAGAAGAAGAAGAATTAGAATATTCCGTATATTACAGTTGAATTAACACAGTTCTTCATGTACAGAATGTATTTATACATGATATACACGATATAAAAGGTCAACCTTTCTCTCAAGCTGTTGCAGCAAAACGTCAAGAGCTTTTCAGCCACAAAACCCTCTGCTTTTGAAAACGTTATCTTCTAACACAATGCCAAAGCCACTGGCCTGTGGTCACAGGTACTTTGGTCCACAGTTGGTACTTCTGACCACAGTTTGGTCAGACTTTCCTGAAAACTGCTCTGGAACCACTCCTTCTTGAGTATAAATCTCTCTGGGATCTTCTGCAGAACTTGCAGGAGTCCCAGCGGGTGAAACCTGGCTGAAAAATCGTGGTCTTCCCCAGGGTCTGCTAGACTATGATGTTCATTTTTGACTTTATGCTCTCCTGAATGACGTATAACATGAAGACAAGCGCTCTATGTTATTTTTTTCTTTCTAGGATGTTGTTGAAGTCCAGTGGTGTTTTTGAGGGTGAGGATCTTCTATCTTTTCAGTGATTTCAAGGCTTTCTCTGTTTTCTCTCAACTGGTGCAGCAATTACTTATGATGTCACACCTTCCCTTTTATTCCTTTTTAAAAAGCTGGCACTGAGAATGTTTCATTCTTGTTTGCTACAGAGACAGCAGTCAGTCATGTATTATGTGGGTGTCGTGCTGTACCAAACTTCCTGACAGGTGTCTGTCCTTTTGCTGCATCCTGACACACTCTTT